ATTTCATTATCAGTGATATAATAGTTGGTCAGTACTAAAATATCTTCATTTCATTATCAGTGATATAATAGTTGGTCAGTACCAAAATATCTTCATTATCAGTGATATAAGTTGGTCAGTACTAAAATATCTTCATTTCATTATCAGTGATATAATAGTTGGTCAGTACTAAAATATCTTCATTTCCTTATCAGTGATATAATAGTTGGTCAGTACCAAAATATCTTCATTTCATTATCAATGATATAACAGTTGGTCAGTACCAAAATATCTTCATTTCCTTATCAGTGATATAATAGTTGGTCAGTACTAAAATATCTTCATTTCATTATCAGTGATATAATAGTTGGTCAGTACTAAAATATCTTCATTTCCTTATCAGTGATATAATAGTTGGTCAGTACCAAAATATCTTCATTTCATTATCAATGATATAACAGTTGGTCAGTACCAAAATATCTTCATTTCATTATCAATGATATAACAGTTGGTCAGTACCAAAATATCTTCATTTCCTTATCAGTGATATAATAGTTGGTCAGTACTAAAATATCATCATTATCAGTGATATAAGTTGGTCAGTACTAAAATATCTTCATTTCATTATCAGTGATATAATAGTTGGTCAGTACTAAAATATCTTCATTTCATTATCAGTGATATAATAGTTGGTCAGTACTAAAATATCTTCATTTCATTATCAGTGATATAATAGTTGGTCAGTACCAAAATATCTTCATTTTCATATCAGTGATATAATAGTTGGTCAGTACTAAAATATCTTCAATTTCATATCAGTGATATAATAGTTGCTATTATATCACCAGCTATTTCAGTTGTATTAGGACAGTCAGTAGTTACATGTGTTTCAACCAGCTATTTCAATTGTATTAGGACAGTCAATAGTTACATGTGTTTCAACCAGCTATTTCAATTGTATTAGGACAGTCAGTAGTTACATGTATTTCAACCAGCTATTTCAGTTGTATTAGAAACACATGTAACTACTGACTGTTCTAATACAACTGAAATAGCCAGTTGAAACACATGTAAGCTATTTCAGTTGTATTAGAACAGTCAGTAGTTACATGTGTTTCAACCAGCTATTTCAGTTGTATTAGAACAGTCAGTAGTTACATGTGTTTCAACCAGCTATTTCAGTTGTATTAGAACAGACAGTAGTTACATGTACATATTTCAACTGGCTATTCCTGATATAGTTTATCCAGACTGGATATCTTGTAAGGTTTTTAGCACAACAATGTACGTAAATAATGAACCAGTTACGACTGGACTCCAGAATAGACACCGAAGTTTAATACAGAATATTGTATGGTAGGAATTACAGAATCAGATATCAAATGTAGAAACGACATTCAAACAACAATCACGTTACTAAAGCATGTCTCTATCTTCATTAAAGACATTAATGTATTTCTAGTTTTTTTTAGTTAAGACAGAGAGCTCTCAACCATATTAATAGAGGTGTGTGTATATAAACGGCTGATGGTTTTACTGGGTGAGCCATGGTTGAAATACTTGTGAAACGTACAATTATCTTTGTGTTCATCACTAAGTATTAATTATACAGATAATAATTGTTACTTCTGATGGCATATCATTGATATTTTTAACCTTATTCCTTAATATACTTAAGTTTCCCACCAAGTCAAATCAGTTTAACTGGAGACATCGCCAGCTTCTCAATTTCACAGTTTCTCTTTACTTTGAAGGGTGAAGACAGCGATGGAGATGTGGAGAACGTTGGCTTTCATAGCGAGGGGGAGTTCGCCTCGTCCGATTTTAACAACAGTCGTAGCATCTTCCCTCAGAATGAAAGCATGGGGACCACTCCTCCGTCTCAAGGGGTTTTTGCAGGAGATAACCTTCTCCAGCAGCCGTACAAGGTAGCATATTGAACTGAAATTGTTGTTTTTCGTACACCTTTTAAAATATCTTTGTTAAGGCATCTTCTTACTTAATTATTTTGTACAGTACTTTGATGAGATAAAGTTTTTGGTTTGAACTAGGTTCTCTGTGTGCTGTATTTGCGTTCGTGTTACAATTATCAGTGTAGATTAATTTATTACAAATTGGTATCCCTGTCCTATTACAACCTGGAAAAACTTGTATTCTTTGAAATTCATTTCGTGGGTTAAACAAAATAAATCAATTTTTGGACATTAACAACACGTTGTTGCCGAGTAACAGTGATTGAACTGTTATCAGTAAGAATCAGTTGCTACACTCTGTCCACCTGTAAATGTTTTAAGATTTGGTTTCTATAAACGTTTTTAACTCGAATATTATATAGGACATAAAAGTATGTTATGACAACCTAATAACTTGAGTTCACGTGATTATAATTCATATTTTTATCGGGTCAAGGATGGGTTCATTCGTATTATGATATTCTTGTATTGATATAAATGTAATTTTTAAGATCAGCCAAAACTAATCATGACATAAGAACAGGATCTTACTTCAGCATCTATTTTCAGATTGCCAAAATTGATATCCAGTATGCAAGGACGGCCAAGCACTTAGATATTAAACGCCTGAAACGAGTAATGTGGCATATTTTGACGAAAGATTCCGTGTCAGATTCACATAATAAGGTAACATCTCTTGATTCAAGTTTCAGAAATCAAATGTGGTTTTATCAGGTAGCAAGCTAACTGTGTGATAAAAGTTTAGACGAACGACCTACACACTCCAGATTGTATATATATTTTGTTATTACTACCAACGTTTCGTTTTACGGCTTCTTCAGAGTTAATACGTACAAACTGTTTGATACTGAAGTATACGTTAATTTCCTACAAACTCAAAGAAAACAAGTTAACGTGTTTTAAGAAAGTTTCGTATGTAGTAACTGTCATTCTGCACAAACATTTCGTCATTAATTAAAAAGTTATGGAAATATTCGTACCTTTTTTTTTCCTCCTGTTGTTTCTTTAGATAGCTATGTTACAAATTGTCAATGATTGGTTGTCGTTGTTTTTTATTTGCTGGTATTTTTAAAACTTTCTATAGGAGAATATAGAAAACCAGGAAGACGTATCAACGCCGGATAGAATGGATGGAGAGATGTCATTTTCTCACATCTATAAGACGTTACCTCACCAGTTGTCGTCACTAATGACAAAGAACCTGAGTGTTCCTATTGCATTCGTATGCCTGCTACACATGGTCAATGAAAAGGTCAGATCTACGTGTTCCAACAGTACTTATTAATACATGCTGTTTCTGTATGTTAACAAATGTTAAAAAATCTAACTGTACAGTTATTTCCCATCAAACCATCGAGTGGTTGGGGGTAACAATAATCTAAGTTTATACCAACATCATTCATTATTGATTTGATATAACAAAGGATTGAACAGATTTTCACTCATTTGTGAGACAAATAGGAGGCTAAAATACACTGGGTTAAACATTTAACAAAGTTCTGTTAAAAGCATATAAATTTCTTTACTAAAATTAATTTCTTACTACTACTTATTACCAATAACGTGAGTTATTATACATTAATATCTAAATTTCAGAACCTGCTAACAAAAACGTACGTATTTAGCAGGACATACTTGTAAAGTATCCATATTTGATATAAAACTTAGAGAAAAACTCGCTCGAGTACCATCTGTTTCTGTATGTTAACAAATGTTACAACACAAGCATCAGTATACTATAGTTAACAACATTAAGTACCACCTGTTTCTGTATGTTAACAAATGTTACAACACAAGCATCAGTATACTATAGTTAACAACACTAAGTACCAAACACTGCACTGGGGGATTTCAGAGATATCCGATCAGAAGGGATTATTGTAATCCTGGCCTCGACAACCGTCTTTATGGTTGAAAAGCCGTTATATTTAAAGATTTTTCTGGAAGCTTGTGAACTATAGTATCAAATCCTGGTTTATTATCTTATTATAAGTACCAAGAAATATTTCCAGCTTCATCACATTAGTTTTTTTTTGAATCAGGGAATTCTTGATCATATCCAGAGTTATAATTTTATAGATGAAAACTTTATTCCAGCATAGGTTGAAGTGGTTTGGGGATATTACTGCTGTTCTAAACATTACGATGTTTCCAGTTTTTGTCCCAACACCATTTAATGGACTTTTAAGTAACTAATACCCACATATAGTAAAGGTACATAGAAAGTATTGTCAAGGTATTTTAGTATAAAAAAAAAAGTCTGGACCAGTTATCGGTAGCATAAGACATTTCTTTATTTTTATAATATGCAAATTAGCCACAGTGGTAATGTTATACAGAATGTGTCTTTGTACATATTTAATATATTTTTATAAAAAAGACCAAAAACCTAGCTACCACTATATAAAGGGTATATGTTACCTTAAGATGGATCTTGCTATAAACCTGTTATATTGGGATTTAGTGAATAATCGTGGCCACTGGACTGTCCCAAGAGCAACTCGAGACGTAGAACAGTGTTTTTTTATAAGGTAGTTGTTAAACGTTGTAATAAAGTCTTACTGCAGCTTGGCTGATGCCAGGAAATCAACCAGTGGTTGGGGAAATTACGTGTTTGAAAATTAAACTTGTCGTTATTTGTTACTAAATTACTAATGTAATTTTTTTCCCCATTCAGACTCTGAAGATCTCGGGAAAGGAGGACCTTTCCGACTTCTCCATCATGCAAGGGTGATGAGAAATTAGTTTTGTATAGTTAATCCAAGATATTCTAGTTTTTAGGGTGAATTAATTTTTAAATGTATCAAACTTCATTGTCATTACTTTTCACTTTCGTTTTAATTTTTTGTACATACGTAATTCTTTCCATGCTGGTTATTTGTAGATATCATATTTCACTAGTATATCAACCACAAAAATGAAAAATATATATATATATCAAACACTAAGTTTTGAGTAAACTTACATGTATTTTTAAATGTATTTTCCAAATCTTTTTTTTTATATATATATGTGTGTGTGTTTGTAAAGAATATGTTTTTAAAATTCCATTTTTAAAAGATTGCTTGTCTTCATGTTCTACCTATTACATAGAAGAACAAGTCAACCCATTCGATCCAGTAATAGCCTACTTACTAATGTTTTCTTTTCCCATTAAAACAACGTAGAACCTTTCAACAACCGATAGGTTTTGGTTGAAGGTGATTCTGATAATTGGGAGTTTCTCTTTAGATTATTATTAAACGAACTCTAGCATCAGCTAGAAATGTATGATTTTATCTTGAGCTAACCATTTGAAGAATCAGAACCTACTAATTGTATTCTTCGTTACACGGAAAATTAACAAAATATATGATGGGGAAAAGTAAAAACATTTTGAAACTTAGTATCTTAAAGTTTGAACATCAACACACTTCTTCTGCTTCAACCCATCGGAATTATGTTACCGACATTAAGTAGTCTTTACACTTTTCAAAACTTGTGTAAATTAATTAAACTGTTAACGTGTTAGCTGTAAGAAGAAAAAAATATTTTGGTCTTTACAAATTCAAAATTAAGAACAGTATTAATTTTCTGTTGAAAACTAAAACTTGGATCTTTGTCGAAAATATAAAAATATTGTAACTTTGTTTTAAGTGCAATGTGTATATTTGTAATAATGAATTTTTAGTTTTTATTCATTGTATTAAACTGGTTTCTGCTGTGGATATTATAGTGACTGACTATAACTTTTACAGTAGACGTTCCTCCGTTTTAATAAAGTGTTATTTTAAAACACTTTCTATAAACATTTAGATACTTTGGAAAAACCCATTTATAAAAGATGGTCAGATTTTGTATAAATTGTGACAGGTTATATCTTGATATTAAATATCTGTTAATTAAAGTATTTAACCAATATTCATTGACCTGTGTTAGGAGGTAATACTGTGAAAACATGTGGTTGGTTCTCTTGCTTATAAGAGTATTTACATTCATGTATAAATCTGATGTTTGTTTTTAGAATATCCTAACAACGGGTGGTTATAAAACTAGTTAACTCAAGGACTTAATATCCAGTCTCAACAATGCTTACTTTCATTCAGAAGTTAATCAACTGGAGAACAGACATTGAAGTCTTATCTTGTAGAGAAAGGTTGATAGTTTAAGACTTACGTTGAATATTTCTTTCCAGAAAAATCAGTGACATCAAAGACCTATATCACACCAGTTATTATTTTGTCTTACAAGTACTCTGGTCAAATCTGGTTCTATACTGTAATAGGACCCTCTACTTTTGACAATCTTTATAGTACAGGCTATCAATGAACTATTCTTGAGGTGCCCCGGAGATTACAGCCACACCTGCTCCCATCTGACCATGTATCTTTATTATTGTCATTCTCCACGTTTTTGAACCTCAACTAATACAATTTAAATATTTGGCTAAACATCTGGGAAGAGAACAAAACTTAAAGCTGTTGGTGAGGACCCAATGTAATTTTAAAACATTTTACTAAACAGCTAGAGTCCACCAACAAAGCATAAAATACTTACCCCTATGTGTGACACAGAAAACATCTGGTTTCATCTAAAGGTCTGTAACTTGAAGGTTAAAGAAGCTATTATCCATAAAACGTGTGTTTCTCTTTTAACCTTTTCCTAGTAATTACTATACATACAAAGAAAATACACAAGTCGAACATCTTAGTTGTTACCCATATCTATTAGTTTATTGATACAGTAATTTTCTAGTAGATAGTAAAGACAATCCTTATTTCTAAGAATCACAGTGTAAGTTCGTATTGTGTAAGAAAGAAAAATTACCTGATTGTGTCTTGTTGAAAACTTTAAAAGAAACGAGACAGCTGTGATTTTTTGTCTGTAAAACCGATAAAAATATTGTACTGTAAAACAATATTACGAAGAAAATGGGAGTACCAGTATTGAGGTTATATTAAATTTGACCAATGTCTTGAATGGAATGACTAGTTAAAATTAAAGAATTTTTGGTCTTTAAGGAAAACAACACAGACCTAATTATATAATAGAAAACACAAGTTTCAGTATAAATTAGTCATATTCGTGAAAAGGTTAAACAAGCATTTTTGTTCTGTAAACAGAACTTTAATACAAAGTTTTTGAGATCTACAAAATCAAATTTCCATGCAACTGTGCCGAGAATTTTATGACATAAACGCATTTTTAAAAATTAAGATAATTATGTGAAAAACTGCGAAGATATTAATAATTAAAAGTGTATTGTAAGAATTAAATTTTATTTAAAAGCACTGACAAAGAAGGCTGATTTTGAAAGTGAAAATATTTGTTCTACAACCCCTTTGGTTTTGTTACCATATACGGTGAATTACAATAGCTCAATTATACACACTTGTCTCTGTGTTTGTAACTTTAAAGATATAGGTACAAATAAAGTAGTCTAGGAAAACTGAGAGATATTATCAGTCACCTGAAGCTTAAAAGTATGCCACCAATAAAAACCAAAACAGTAGGCTTTCACATTCAAGATCTGAGAAGTTTCTTTGAACAAAAACAAAACAGCGTTCTCTTCAGTCGTTTTTGTTCCGTCAAAAAGTTTTACGATGAATTGCTCTATTTCCCTCTTCGTCGTACTCTCGTTTAGACACCCACATCTTCTTGAATGTGTCCAAAGATGCCAGAATAGAACCACTAGAGTAAAATAAATCTCCCTTACTTTCTGTTTACACACACACATCGAACAAAATAACCTCGATCAATTATTTATAAACAACAGAGAAGTTAAAAAAAAAGAACACTTACCCTATCCATGTAGAATACAAACGTTCTTGTGGTGCAGATATCTGATAAAGAAATAAACACATGTCACCAACAAATTTATTAGTGAAGGGAATATGGAGAAAACGACCTTACTAGAATTATTTTTAATTTTTCCATGGCATCATTATACCTACAAGTTACAGTTCTTGTGAACTTAACACCTTGAATTTTTTGTCAAATACAATACAATAAAAGTTTCTCTGTTTCAGTATAACAAGTGTACTAACAACTTGATGTTAACTCAGTAATAATTTACTTTAAACAATACCAGGTTAAGGATATTCATGGTTTCGGTGTTACCATGTGATGTAATGAGGCTGTAATCTAAGTTGAACTTACCCGTATTTTAATATCCTTTGGAGCTATTTTCTTCACTTCACTCAATAGTCTATCACCAAACCCTGTAAAATATTTAGATGCACAGCCTGTACAAAAGGTTAAAGTTTCTAACACCATTAAAATCAAATTAAGTATTTTTTTTTTTAACTATACAGCACCAGTCTTTCTTTTCTCAACAAAAGCTTGAAAACTAAACACAGAATGTTTGTTTTCAATCAAACTTCTACTGTTATCTGCCACCATCCATATTCTCGACTAGAGGCAAGGCAGCGACCACCATTAACAATGGGCTTACAATCTAACAAACATCGCAACTGAGAAAGCCGAGAGGTGAAAAGAAACTCTAGGACTGGGGCTCGAATCCAGGATCTTTGGCTCTATCCAAGAGTACAAGCTGTCCCTGCCTCCTCATCACTCGCAAGACATTTTAACTATGAATATGAAACTTCACACTACTTTGTGTTGCTGTGGTCAAGGAATTAATGCGCTGATTTACTACCAAATCACAGGGGTTTAACTAGACTCGCATATATATTTATTATTACTATATTGAATTCATAACACAAATCAATGAAAACTTTCTAACATACATTACTGTAATTTAAAAAGCTGATAATTAAATTTTGGGATACTTTTTTTTTACTAACAAATATGAGAACGACTGTCACATTAGAATTCCGTTGTACATTTGGCACACAGTTTCAGTCCCATAAATTGAGTTGAGCATGCTAATCATACATCGGTAACAGTGAAGCACAGTTACAAATTACTTGGGCACGTAATGTGTGTGTTGACCTCGTACATTCAAGTTATATTCTACCTTTTTCTTTTGCACTGGCTAGTAAGTGTTTGGTCATTTTTTTTTTTAGTATACACAGAACAGCCATTTATGCAAATTTTAATACTAATGTAAGAAAATTGGTTTCACATTTAGTATAGAATTTCCTAGGAAATATTATTTTTACATTTTTTAAATATTTTCTTTTATTCTGAAATGATTTTAATTACATAAAAAAAAATTAACAATGTTCAAAAATTGGCACTAAGGGAAAATGGAGATAGCCAGTAAGCTCATAAAAATGAGAAGTAAGGTAGACTAACCAATCACGAACTTTGATCCTATCACAATAAAAGTATGGGAAACGGAAGAGCTGAAATGGCTGTTCAACTCGTAAAATGTGGAAATGAAGAGGAGATTTAGAATCCCTCTGGACCGTACCCAAGAACCGTCTTGTTACAAATAGAAGCCACTTTATAGTAAATATAAAGAGGAAGAAATGGGAAAAATATTTATTTAACTTTCCAACAAAATTAATGGAAACCAAAAGAATTTAGTATACTGCTTTTAGTTAAATATTTTTGAATTTCAACAATGGTACCGCTATTGAGTAACTGAAAGGGAGGTGTGAATAATATACACTTACTAAGCACACAAATCTAAATTATGGAAAACACAACAGATAAACAATTTTTTAAAGATTTACCTCTGAACAAGGTAGAACCTCCCGAGAGAACAATATTCTGATACAAGACTTTACGCAGATCCATGTCCGACTTGTGTATAGAATTTCCCAAAACTTCGTGCAGACCTTCGAATTCCTCTCCAATGATATCTGGTCGAAAAAGTATTTCTGGTGCTCTAAATCTAGCTGGCCCTATCTAAGAAGTGTAAATAAAAATAATTAACAGAATTTAAGAAGAGTTTTAGGGAAAGCCACCAACAAGCAGGGGTGTAAACCAGATACTTTAATACAAATCACTGTTAATCAGACGAGGTAATACAGATTGTTTCAGAATTTTGTACAAAGATACAAGAGAGTTATCTTTACATAGCTGTCCCTAACCTCGAACTAATACGTTAGAGGAATGCCACCTGGTCAAATACTAGGATCTATCAGTCATTCTTAGTGTACTTATGGGCCCAAAGTGAGGATGTTTTTATAACGGTGGGTTGAAGACCATGAATCCTCAGAATCACAAGCCCCAATACGGATAGTTACAAACAATATTTTATTCTAATTTCCAAAACTTTTCACTTAAATACGTTATCAAATAACTTAATTTCCTTCAAAGTTCTTTTTTAAGAAGTAGAAAGGATTCCAATGGATTAAGTTATCCGACAGAAAAGCAAAAACTAAGTACCGATATACGACATAGAAGTTTATCGCTTTTTAAATTTAATGAACACTTTCCAGTTTTTAATATTACTCTTTTTTTCTAATGGTTTTTGAGATTCGCATGACTATTTCGACAGGAATTTAGTAAAAATTGACAGTAGTATTAGGACTTCTCTAACAGAAGAAATAAATATCTGAGGGACTGAAATGTAAGTTATTGACTAAACAATTAGAAGACAAAAGGGGGAAAAAATAATTTAGAATCTAAAACCATAACTTGAGCTACAGTTATTTATTTCCTTAGAGTTTAACTTGGGTTAATAAAAATGTTTTGATTAGAAAATACCATCATTCACAGTCTGCAGTTAAATGGATAACAGAGTTGAGAATGACACAAACTGCTTGCTAATCCTTCAGTACCAGAACAAAAAAGGTTAAAATAAGCAGTTGCAAAAAACATATCTTACGCTTTTCAAAAACCATACAAGTTATATATTTTTAATATTCTTGCCATTCCAAGTCACATTATACATACATTAAAGTATGTATATCAGTAGACACACAGACAATTACAATCGTTAAAAAAAAACAATATCAGACATACTTCTAAAACACTTCCATCTGGTAAAGTGTACTGTGCTTTCTCAGTTTCCATGGTTTCTTCTCGCTGTGGGTTACTGGCAAGGTAGCAAGCTTTCTAAAAAAAGTAAAGATATACATAGCGATGTGGTAAAACAGAAGAAAATGGCATTGTGTATTGTAGAAAAGAAAGTTAAACAAAGAGAGTGAAGACAATTAAAGTTGCTCCTGCCAGTTAAACAAGTTTAAGGTTGCTGGTAATATTTATGGTGACACCGATCTAAACAAAATTTAATTCGTATACTTTTGGCCAAATTGACTAAATATCTGACCCTAGATACACGATAAACGAAAAGTAGTTTCAGACGGATATGAATGAGTCAAAATCTCCAACAGAAGGTGTTACAAAAAAAAATAAAAAGTACCTCTTTCACAGATTTCACAATTTCAAACTCTGCTGTGGTGTGAAAATCAAAGCCTTCCTTTCTCAACAAAAGACGCAAGTATCGAGTAACATCTCGACCCGCGATGTCTACACGTTGGATGCTATTAGGCATAGCAAAGCCTTCGTAAATCGGAACAGCATGTGTAACACCATCTCCAGCATCTAATACTACACCAGTTGTGCGACCAGTAGCGTACCTGGTGGCAAGAAACAAAACTATTACTAAGCAAATGATCACAGAATTAAAACTAATAGTAACAAACAGAGCCAGTGGATTGGAGCTTATAAATACATATAACTACTAACAGTTACTACTGTACTTAGTCTGATAAGACTAACACTGCTTCTTAACAGAAGCCTACTTATTAAAAAAAATTGAAATTTATCTCTAAATAATAGCAGATGAAGTAAAACAACACATACAAACTTAAGACTGCCTGCATAGAGATAAACAACGCGGGTACATTGAAGGTTTCAAAAAATATTTCCGCTGATTTTTCCCTATTCCTTTGGGGGTTGAGAGGCGCTTCTGTGAGAAGTACTGGATGCTGTAAAAAAAATATATTTATAAATCCTAAAAAAAAGAAATTACGAATTAAAAAACCATACATTAAAAGAAACATTTTCTTACCCAAATATTCACTTATAGAGCATAATATCAAAGAAATTTCTAGATTTACGTGTACTGGAAGTGAGGATACTTTTAACAGTTCTTTTGTAAATATGCAACTTATGTATTTGTTTGTTTTGAAGAACTCTACGAAGATGTGTTTCTGTCAGCAGCTTTCAAAATTAAGTTGATAAATCCTACACAAAAAATACTTTACAGATGCTTCTACCACCCGAGCAAGATTAGAAATTTTTAACCTGACATTAGTTCTGGACAAATTAAATCCATAGCGATAAATATTTATTCGAAATAATTGTTCAAAAAGGTTTAAAGATTTTGAAAATTCAAGGATCTTGGGTCGTGAAGTAAAAGAAAGATTGATAACTTAGGATTTGAGCCCTATAAAGTAAAGAACTAACATTTTGTACGAAGTATTCATTCATCTAATGAATAGTAAAATATATTTTAAGAAACGTTTCAAACAAAACACTGACTAGGTCAATATATTTGAGCACAAGATTTCAGTGACTACCAGTCAGGAACGCAGCAAAGCCCTCACGAAAAAAAAAAGAAACGGGTTTGCTGAGGTTAAAGAATAACATTACTGTTTACATTTTCATTAATTCTTTACAACTGATAACAGAGTTACAGTAATTCTGACAAGAAGTTACCGGCAGATAACACAATGTCGGGTGTTCAAATACAGTTGCTTACCTCGTATTTGGTCATTTCGAAACTTTAATCGCAACAAGTAGCCCTAAACTTACGATTACCCTTTTTATATGTTATTTACTTAAGGCACCTATTATGACGTCATCATAAAAGAAGTGTACCTCTTCCGGATATGTCTGAAGTTGTTCTTTAGAATAAATATACTGCCATATCCTCTCCATGTCATTCCAATCAGTTACAATTCCATGTTCCATGGGATATCGAATGCTTAGAAGCCCTCTGTGCTCCTAGAACAGTATGTAAAAACAAATATGAATAAAAGTCAGAGAAGTTAGTAAAACAATTAGTTTACATTATGACAAAGATAAAATCTACAAAAAAATAAAGATACAACAAAGATGACTGGCATTTACTCTGAAACATCCTGGTGCATCAATTCAATGGCACTAGTTGTACCGGTTGTTTCGTCGGACTACAAAGGTAGCCGTACCGGTTGTTTCACCGGACTACAAAGTAGCCGTACCGGTTGTTTCGTCGGACTACAAAGTAGCCGTACCGGTTGTTTCATCGAACTACAAAGTAGTTGTACCGGTTGTTTCACCGGACTACAATTAATTCAATGTGATGTGTGTTCTTGTTACTTTATGTTAAACGAAACAATGTATCACATTTGTTTACATATTTAATTCAATGTGATGTGTTCTTGTTACTTTATGTTAGACGAAACAATGTATCACATTTGTTTACATATTTAATTCAATGTGATGTGTTCTTGTTACTTTATGTTAGACGAAACAATGTATCACATTTGTTTACATATTTAATTCAATGTGATGTGTTCTT